AAAATGTGATTGGTTGATTCCACTGTCACACCAAAATGTTGTCCTAATACAGTTGAATGGCAGATGCCCCATTCTCATTGATGGGGCTGTACTGGAACAGGTTGAGAGCTTCAAGTTCCTTGGTGTCCACATCACCAACGAACTATCATGGTCCAAACACACCAAGACAGTCGTGAAGAGGGCATGACAAAGCCTATTCCCCCTCAGGAGACTGAAAAGATTTGGCATGGGTCCTCAGATCCTCAAAAAGTTATACAGCTGCACCATCGAGAGCATCGTGACTGGTTGCATCACCGCCTGGTATGGCAACTGCTCGGCCTCCGACCGCAAGGCACTACAGAGGGTAGTGCGTACGGCCCAGTACATCACTGGGGCCAAGCTTCCTGCCATCCAGGACCTCTATACCAGGCGGTGTCAGAGGAAGGCCCTCAAAATTGTCAAAGACTCCAGCCACCCTAGTCATAGACTGTTCTCTCTTGCTACCGCACGGCAAGCGGTACCGGAGCGCCAAGTCTAGGTCCAAAATGCTTCTCAACAGCTTCTACCCCCAAGCCATAAGACTCTTGAACAGCTAATCATGGCTACCTGGACTATTTGCAGTGCCCCCCCACCCCATCCCCCTCTTTTACGCTGCTGCTACTCTGTCTATTATTTATGCATAGTCACTTTAACTCTACCCACATGTACATATTACCTAAATTACCTCGACTAGCAAATGCCCCCGCACATTGACCCTGTATATAGCCTCCCTACTGTTATTTTATTTTACTGCTGCTCTTTAGTTATTTGCTTTTATTTTTGTAACTTAACACTTAAAAAAAAAAAAAACTTACAAAAATACATTGTTGGTTAAGGGCTTGTAAGTAAGCATTTCACTGTAAGGTCTACACCTGTTGTATTCGGCGCATGTGGCAAATACAATTTGATTTGATTTGATTAGCCTTTTTCTAGCTTCTGATGGCCTAGCCAATGGCTGACTTAGCTACCTAGATTTAGCAAAGAAACATTCTGATTGGATCGTTTTTTTTTCTTCAAGGTTAACCCTTTCCTTTCCAACAAAAATGTAAGAGATTAAATCAGAACATAATTGAAAATAATACTAATATTATTATAATTATAATAATAATAATAATTATTATAAATCCTTAGCCCTTCTCTGAAGGCGTAGAAGGCCCATTGTTCCCCACTGTGTTTGGGTTAGTTATAATTTGTATAGGGGCTCTAATTTCCTCAGCATGCATTTTTTCACTATTTTGAATGTCTATTTAATCTATATGTTGTTCTGAAATATGAACACAGAAATACTGGACATTTTGAACTTATTATGGTGGTGATTTGAAAACATTGACTTGGACTCGCATTTTTCTGGTCTTGGTCTTGACTCAGTCTCAGACCCCTTGTCCCCCTCCCGGTCTCGGTCTTGACTCGGTCTCACCCTCCCTCCGGTCTCGGTCTTGACTCGGTCTCGCCCCTCCCTCTGGTCTCTGGTCTCGGTCTTGACTCGGTCTCGCCCTCCCTCCGGTCTCGGTCTTGACTCGGTCTCGCCCCTCCCTCTGGTCTCGGTCTTGACTCGGTCTCGCCCCTCCCTCTGGTCTCGGTCTTGACTCGGTCTTGACTCGGTCTCGCCCTCCCTCTGGTCTCTGTCTTGACTCGGTCTCGCCCCTCCCTCCGGTCTCGGTCTTGACTCGGCTCTCGCCCCTCCCTGGTTCCCGGTCTTGACTCGGTCTCGCCCCTCCCTCTGGGTTTTCGTCTTGACTCGGTCTCGCCCTCCCCTCTGTCTCGGTCTTGACTCGGTCTTCGCCCCCTCCCTCGGTCCCTCTGACTCGGTCTCGCGCCCCTCCCTCGGTCTCGGTCTTGATCGGTCTTGACTCGGTCCCTTCCCCCCCTCCCTCTGGTCTCTGGGCTTGACTCGGTCTCGACCCCTTGTCCCTCTCGGTCCGTTCTCGGTCTTGACTCGGTCTCACCCCTCATTTCCGTTCTTGGTCTTGACTCAGTCTCGCCCCTCCCTCTGGTCTCGGTCTTGACTCGGTCTCGGACCCCTTGTCCCCTTCCCGGTCTCGGTCTTGACTCGGTCTCACCCCTCACTCCATCTTGGTCTTGACTCGGTCTCGCCCCTCCCTCTGGTCTTCTCTTTTACTCGGTCTCGCCCCTCCCTCTGGGCTCGGTCTTGACTCGGTCTCGCCCCTGCCCCTTCCCCGGTCTCGGTCTTGACTCGGTCTCACCCCTCACTCCATTGGTCTTGACTCAGTTCTCGCCCTCCCTCTGGTTCGGTCCTGACTCGGTCTCGCCCCCCTCCTGGTCCGGTCTTGACTCGGTCTCCCGTCCCCTCTGGTCTCGGTCTTGACTCGGTCTCCCCCCTCCCTCCGTCTCGGTCTTGACTCAGTCTCGCCCTCCCTCTGGTCTCGGTCTTGACTCGGTCTCGCAACTCCCTCTGGTCTCGGTCTTGACTCAGTCTCAGACCCCTTGTCCCCCTCCTGGTCTCGGTCTTGACTCGGTCTCACCCTCCCTCTGGTCTCGGTCTTGACTCGGTTCAGCCCCTCCCTCTGGTCTCGGTCTTGACTCGGTCTCGCCCCTCCCTCTGGTCTCGGTCTTGACTCGGTCTCGCCCCTTTGTCCTCCCTCTGGTCTCGGTCTTGACTCGGTCTCGCCCCTCCCCCTGGTCTCGGTCTTGACTCGGTCTCACCCTCCCTCTGGTCCGGTCTTGATTTGGTCTCCCCCTCCTCCGGTCTCGGGCTTGACTCGTTCGCCCCTCCCTCTGGTATTGGTCTTGATCGGGCTCGCCCTCCCTTTCCTCTCGGTCTGACTCGGTCTCGCCCCTCCCTCTGGTCTCGGTCTTGACTCGGTCTCGCCCCTCCCTCTGGTCTCGGTCTTGACTCGGTCTCGCCCCTCCCTCTGGTATCGGTCTTGACTTGGTCTCGCTTTCCCTCCGGTCTTGACTCGATCTCGCCCCTCCCTCTGGTCTCGGTCTTGACTCGGTCTCGCCCCTCCCTCTGGTTTGGTCTTGACTTGGTCTCGCTTTCCCTCTCGGTCTTGACTCGGTCTCACCCCTCCCTCTGGTCTCAGTGGAGTGGTCATAACCTGGTTTTCTCAGCTGCTGCCTGCCATGCCATCTGAATGAACAAAGACACTGTCTGTTCCAAACATGAGGAAGTGGATATTCAGTACATCTGCTCAGAGAGCCTACCAATGTTCCCTCTAAGCTGTGTGCATGGTCGTGCAACCGGACAGAATAAATATCAGCCTGTGCAGAGAAGCACAAGATTGAACTTCACTCAACTTTCTTTGAGAGTTTTCCCTATTAGTTAACACTATCAACGTTTCCCTTTATTGTGGGAAATGTGATCGAATCAACGCAATATTGGCCACTTTCATTGCAACATACCGAAACAAAACAAACCATGCAAGAGATTTTGTTGTAGGCAGAATGCATCAGAGTAGGATTCTATCTCATCGACAGGCACGACCCATAATCTACACAGACCGGTGCGGCATAACCAATCAGAGCTGCAGCAGGCCTATATGCAAATAGACCATTGATGTATATGGATCTGTGCCATTCACTTTGAACTGGACTGTTTTTACAGCATGAGCGGTCGCGATTATTATGCACTTGTTTTGAGATCAAAGCGAGAGCTGCATGTAGCCAAGTGTGCACATTTGTTCACATCCTTTGCTAGTTAGTGAGTTATTAGCCCAGTTATAGATCATTTGTAGTCAGAAATGGGGGAGTGGTTGCTTCCTACAAGAGCACAAAATGTGAACATTTCTAGCCATCTTTGAAAAGCGAGTCAGGTAAAGAGCTTTTTTTTTTATATCTTAAAGGGACAGTGTTATATTTTGAGACAGGCTTGAATAAGCTAAGTAGCCAATAGGCAGAGGGTAGCATAATTTGTCTGATACTCTGTAATAATGGTACGGGAATAATAATGCATTTTATTTTGAAAGTGGTTAATGTCAAGTCCTGCATGTTTTTTTTTTAAGTCTCATGGAATGTATGCCTTGATTGAACACCACACATTGGCTGCTACTGTAGGCTGAATTATAGAACAGCTATTTCCATGTTATAATGTTATGGGATGCATTTTCTCCATTGTTTATGATGGTAGGCCACTCTGGTAGGCCTACATTATGATCAAATAGCCACAGTAGCCTACTTGGCCACTGTTAAATATGTAACTTAAAGCGGGTACAGCCTCAGTGTTTACAGTAAACACGCAATGGAAGTTGCACAGAATTTTCACAACGTTCAAGGTTGCGCTCAGCAGACTAGATATTTGCTCGGTGCCGAAAGAAATTAGAGGGAACTTTGGAGCATACCCTACCCCACCCCACCCCAGCCTCCCTGCCCCAGCCTCCCCTGCCCTCCCCTGGCCTTTAACGTCCCCTGCACTGGTACTCCATGTATATAGCCATGTTATTACCTGGTACTTCCTGTATATAGCCATGTTATTACCTGGTACTCCCTGTATATAGCCATGTTATTACCTGATACTTCCTGTATATAGCCATGTTATTACCTGATACTTCCTGTATATAGCCATGTTATTACCTGGTACTCCCTGTATATAGCCATGTTATTACTTGGTACTTCCTGTATATAGCCATGTTATAACCTGGTACTCCCTGTATATAGGCATGTTATTACCTGGTACTTCCTGTATATAGCCATGTTATTACCTGGTACCGCTGCACATCGACTCAGTACTGGTACTCCCTGTATATAGCCATGTTATTTTTACTCGTTATAGTTATTCGTCATTCATTGTGTATTTATTTGTCATGTCACAATTTAAAACGTCTGTCTTATCTTTAACTCTGCATTTTTGGGAAGGGCCCGTAAGTAAGCATTTCACTGTTGGTCTACACCTGTTGTCTACGAAGCATGTGATAAATATTTTTTTTTTTTAGATTTGCGTATTGCTGTGGATAGAAAGACATAGATCAAATATTTTGAGACAATGCTAACCTTACCTTCTTCTCTCTTCCCCCCCCCCCCCACAGGTGAACAACAATGGCCTGGTCTCGTTCCTCAGAGAGGTGTCTCAGTTCACACCCGTGGCGTTTCCCATCGCTGGCGACCGGAGGGTTGTGGCGCCGTTCTGGGCTGACGTGGACAACAGGCGGAGGGGGCAGGTCTTCTACCGGGAGAGTAAAGACCCATCTGTCCTCCAGAGGGCCACAGCTGACGTCAGACGATACTTCTCTGAGTTCCCAGAGTTCAGTGCAACGTGGATCCTCATCTCAACTTGGCACAAAGTCACCTTCTTTGGAGGCAGTGACATAACACCGGTAGGATTCTCAACCAATCAAATAAATAAATAAATCACTCAACCAATCAATCAATCAATCAAATGTATTTACATAAGAAGTTGTCACAAAGTGCTTTAGTCAATCTAGACCTCCAAAACACAGGAAGGAGCACAGAGGCACAAACTCCCCCAAGGATAAGGGGAGACTCTTGTCTTGTTATTCAGCATCCTAGAGTGCTATATGTGACCTGTTGACTACTGTGCCCTGCAGGTGAATACGTTCCAAGTGATACTGATCACCAACGGAGAGCTATCCTTCACCATCTTCCAGTACCATGACATCACCTGGACCACAGGCATGCACGCCAGCAGTGGAGGGGACCTGGCAGGGCTAGGAGGCATCGCTGCACAGGTAAGATCACAGAGATGTCCTCAAAAACCATGTTTATAGGTAAGATCACAGAGATGTCCTCACAAACCGTCATTAATGTCTTCATAAACCATAGCTACAGCCAGGATCACACCGTCCCCATTTTGCCCTCAGAACAGCTTCAATTTCTCGGCACATGGACTCTACAAGGTGTCGAAAGCATTCCCATGTTGACTCCAATGCTTCCCACAGTGTGTCAAGTTGGCTGGATGTCCTTTATGTGGTGGACCATTGTTGATACACACGGGTAACAGTTGAGTGTGAAAAACCCAGCAGCGTTGCAGTTCTTGACACACTCAAACCGGTGCGCCTGGCACCTACTACCATACTCCATTCAAAGGCACTTAAATATTTTGTCTTGACCATTCAGCCGCTGAATGGCACACATACACAATCCATGTAAATTGTTTAAAGTCCTAAAAATCCTTCTTTAACCCGTCTCCTCCCCTTCATCTACACTGATTGAAGTGGATTTAACAGGAAACATCAATAAGGGATCACAGCTTTCACTTGGATTTATCTGGTCAGTCTGTGTCATGGAAAGAGCAGGTGTTCTTAATGTTTTGTATACTATATATACAGGACCAGTCAAAAGTTTGGACACACCTACTCATTACAGGGTTTTTCTTTTTTACTATTTTCTACATTGTAGAATAATAGTGAAGACATCAAAACTATGAAATAACACACATGGAATCATGTAGTAACCAAAAAAGTGTTAAACAAATCAAAATATATTTTAGATTTTAGATTGGACTGCAGAGTGAAGGAAAATCAGCCAATAAGTGCTCAGCAGATGTGGGAACTCCTTCAAGACTGTTGGAAAAGCATTCCTCATGAAGCTGTTTGAGAGAATGCCAAGAATGTGCAAAGCTGTCATTAAGGAAAAGGGTGGCTACTTTGAAGAATCTCAAATATAAATTATAATTTGATTTGTTTAACACTTTTTTGGTTACTACATGATTCCATATTTTGATGTCTTCACTATTATTCTACAATGTGGAAAATAGTAAAAGTAAAGAAAAACCCTGGAATGAGTAGGTGTGTCCAAACTTTTGACTGGTGCTGTATTCAATCGAACGCTGCTGGCACCCGCCCACCCGACTAGAATCACTACTCTCAACGGGTCTGACCTAGACTATGTGGACAACTACAAATACCTAGGTGTCTGGTTAGACTGTAAACTCTCCTTCCAGACTCACATTAAGAATATCCAATCCAAAGTTAAATCCAGAATCGGCTTCCTATTTCGCAACAAAGCCTCCTTCACTCATGCTGCCAAACATGCCCTCGTAAAACTGACTATCCTACCGATCCTTGACTTTGGCGATGTCATTTACAAAATAGCCTCCAACACTCTACTCAACAAATTGGATGTAGTCTATCACAGTGCCATCCGTTTTGTCTCCAAAGCCCCATACACTACCCACCACTGTGACCTGTACGCTCTTGTTGGCTGGTCCTCATTACATGTTCGTCATCAAACCCACTGGCTCCAGGCCATCTATAAATCACTGCTAGGCAAATCCCTGCCTTATCTTAGCTCATTGGTTACCATAGCAACACCCACCCGTAGTATGCGCTCCAGCAGGTATATCTTACTGGTCATTCCCAAAGCCAACACCTCCTTTGGCCGCCATTCCTTCCAGTTCTCTGCTGCCAATGACTGGAACAAATTGCAAAAATCTCTGAAGCTGGAGACTCTTATCTCCCTCACTAACTTTAAGCATCAGTTGTCAGAGCACCTTACCGATCACTGCACCTGTACACAGCCCATCTATAATTAGCCCACCCAACTACCTCATCCCTATATTGTTATTTATTTTGCTCATTTGCACCCCAGTATCTCTATTTGCACATAATCTCTTGCACATCTATCATTTCAGTGTTAATACTAATTGTAATTATTTTGCACTATAGCCTATTTATTGACTTACCTCCATAACTTGCTACATTTGCACACACTGTATATATATTTTTTCTGTTGTATTTTTGACTTTATGTTTTGTTTTACCCCATATGTAACTCTGTGTTGTTGTTTTTATCGCACTGCTTTATCTTGGCCAGGTCGCAGTTGTAAATGAGAACTTGTTCTCAACTGGCTTACCTGGTTAAATAAAGGTTAAATAAATAAATAAATATATACTGTATATACAGTGCCATGACTTTTCACACATTTTGTTGTGTTACAGCCTGAATTTAAAAATGTAACTTGACATTTTTTATCACTGGCCTACACACAATTCCCCATAATGTCAAAATGGAATTATGTTTTTCTAAAGTTTTACAAATGAATTATAAATGAAAAGCTGAAAAGTCGTGAGTCAATAAGTATCCAATCCCTTTGTTATGGCAAGCCTAAATAAGTTCAGGAGTAGAAATGTGCTTAACAAGTCACATAATACATTGCATGGACTCACTCTGTGTGCAATAATAGTGTTTAACATGATTTTTGAATACCTACCTCATTTCTGTACCCCACACATACAATTATCTGTAAGGTCCCTCAGTCGAGCAGTGCATTTCAAACACAGATTCAACCACAAAGACCAGGGAAGTTTTCCCAATGCCTCGCAAAGAAGGGCACCTATTGGTAGATGGGTAAAAATAAAAAGCAGACATTGAATATCCCTTTGAGCATGGTGAAGTTATTAAATACACTTTGGATGGTGTATCAATACACCCAGTCACTATAAAGATACAGGTGTCCTTCCTAACTCAGTTGCCGGAGAGGAAGGAAACCACTCAGGGATTCCACCATGAGGCCAATGGTGACTTTAAAACAGTTACAGAGTTGAATAGCTGTGATGGGAGATAACTGAGGATGGATCAACAACATTGTAGTTACTCCACAATACTAACAATATTATGTTCGCAACAAGGCACTAAAGTAATACTGGAACAAATGTGGCAAAGGATTTCACTTTTTGTCCTGAATACAAAGTGTTATGTTTGGGGTAAATCCAATACAACACATTACAGAGTACCACTCTCCATATTTTCATGCATAGTGGTGGCTGCATCATTACATTTACATTTACGTCATTTAGCAGACGCTCTTATCCAGAGCGACTTACAAATTGGTGCATTCACCTTATAGCCAGACTGGAACATGTTCCGGGATTCTTCAGACTGTCACACTCTGGCTCCGGGACTTGTATTTGAGCCAGGGTGTATTCGTTTTGTGGGGGTTTGTTTTGGTTAGGTTGGGAATAGGGTGTGTTCATTTGGGTGTGTGTGGTTTTGGTTAGTTCTTGTGTAGTCATGTGACTCCCAATCGGAGGTAACGAGTGTCAGCTGTCGGCTCGTTATCTCTGATTGGGAGCCATATTTATCTGTATGTTTTCCTTTGGGTGTTGTGGGTTTTTGTTCCGTTTCGGTCGGTGTACCGTGGACTTCATGAGTCGTCTTTTGTTTGTAGTTCGAAACTTTAATTAATAAAGTCATGTTTCTTGCACACGCTGCGCCTTGGTCTCCTTCGCTCTTAGACGACCGTGACAGAAAAACCCACCAATCTAGGACCAAGCGGCGTGTCAAGCGGCAACAGGATCCACCTACACAGGATTCATGGACATGGGAGGAGATACTGGATGGAAGGGGTCCTTGGGCACAACCGGGAGAATATCGCCGCCCTCGTGAAGAGCTGGAGGCAGCTAAAGCCGAGAGGAGGCAATATGAGGAGGCAGCACAGAGGCAAGGCTGGAAGCCCGTGAGCACTAGCCAAAAATTTCTTGGGGGGGGGCCTTAAAGGGAGTGTGGCGAAGTCAGGTAGGAGACCTGCGCCTACTCCCTGTACTTACCGTGGAGAGCGAGAGTACGGGCAGACACCGTGTTACGCAGTAGAGCGCATGGTGTCTCCTGTACGCGTGCATAGCCCGGTTCGGTACATTCCAGCTCCACGTATCGGCCGGGCTAGATTGAGCGTTGAGCCGGATGTCATGAAGCCGGCCCAACGCATCAGGCCACCAGTGCGTCTCCTCGGGCCGGCTTACATGGCACCAGCCTTACGCATGGTGTCCCCGGTTCGCCTACATAGCCCGGTGCGGGTTATTCCTCCTTCCCGTACTGGTCGGGCGACGGGGAGCATACAACCAGGTAAGGTTTGGGCAGGCTCAGTGCTCAAGGGAGCCAGTAAGCCTGCACGGTCCGGTATTTCCGGCGCCACCTCCCCGCTCCAGCCCAGTACCACCAGTGCCTACACCACGCACCAAGCCTCCTGTGTGTCCCCAGAGTCCTGTGCGTCCTGTTGCTGCTCCCCGCACTAGCCCTGAGATGCGTGTCCTCAGCCCGGGACCACCAGTTCCGGCACCACGCACCAGGCCTATAGTGCGTCTCGGCCGGCCAGAGTCTGCCGTCTGCCCAACGGCGCCTGAACTGCCCGTCTGCCCAACGGCGCCTGAACTGCCCGTCTGCCCAACGGCGCTTGAACTGCCGTCTGCCCAACGGCGCCTGAACTGCCTGGCTGCCCAACGCCGTCTGAACGGTCCGTCTGGCCAAGCGGCTGTCATGAACTGCCCGTCTGTACTGAGCCTGCAAAGCCGCCCGTCTGCCATGAGCATTCAGAGGCCGTCCGCCAAGACCGGAGCCGCTAGAGCCTTCCGCCAGACAGGATCATAGCCAGAGCTTCCGCCAGACAGGAATCAGCCAGAGCCTTCCGCCAGACAGGATCAGCCAGAGACTTTCGCGCCAGGCCATGAGGGGCAGCCATAATCCGTCAGTCCCCCAGTCCCAGCCATGAGGGCAGCCAGAATATCCGTCAGCCTGCCATGAGCAGCCAGATCCGTCAGCCAGCCATGAGCAGCCAGATCCGTCAGCCTGCCATGAGCAGCCAGATCCGTCAGCCAGCCATGAGCAGCCAGATCCGTCAGCCAGCCATGAGCAGCCAGATCCGTCAGCCAGCCATGAGCAGCCAGATCCGTCAGCCAGCCATGAGCCGTCCAGCCAGGATCCGCCAGAGCCGTCCAGCCGGGGTCCGCCAGCCAGCCAGGATCCGCCAGAGCCAGCCAGCCAGGATCCGCCAT